TATATATATATATATAATTATATATATATATATATATATATAATACACACACACACTTCTTGTCCAAATATCTTTAATATGCATAATGTGACTCTCAAAATTCGGGAGAAGATACTAAGTAAGAGGATATTGGAGCACTTGGAAAAGATACTTCACAGAAAACCAGCAAGGATTTGAGGACGGGAAATCATGTTTTATATATTTGCTGGGGTTCTGTGACAACCACAGAGATAAAACAATAAAGACAGGACAGGGTGTACTGTACCCTTTTTGGGCTGTAGGACAGAATTTGATACAGTACCACTTTCGAGTAGCCCAGAAATTAAGGGATGAGACATCAGAATGGGGTTTCTCAAGGATCAGTACTAATTCCGCTACTGTCTCTAATACATATGATTCCAGAGGAGCTTATTGTACAACGTTTCACTACAAATTGGCTTTATTAAGTACAGTATACATGAACGACCACTGTGTCACTGTTTACGAATGATGTAAAACTAATAAGAAGAATAAGAACAGGAGAAGACAATCTTGAACTGCAGGGAGACCTCGACAGACTATACATGTAGTCCAACAAGTGACTGCTTAAGTTCAAGCCAAGAAAATTCAAGATCATGAATAATGGGAAAGGTGAAGGTAAACGGACACAGAGAATTAAGACACAGATGAGAAATAAGGCGTTAAAGACACATGAGAAATAAGGCGTTAAAGTATTTCTTTAATCTTAGGATAGCTGGGAAGTGAAATGACTTGGATGAAGCAGTGGTGGAGGCAAACTCAATATACAGCTTCAAGATTAGACATGATAAAGCTCTAACAGCCAGAAACAGTGATGCCTATCAAAATGGTCTAGGAGGTGGGGCTATGAGCTAAGCCTCGACCAGAGGTTGTATACGCTTCTATTAAATGTCATCCAATCCTGTAAAAAGTATGTATTATATAGAAATAAATTATTATTATTATTATTATTATTATTATTATTATTATTATTATTATTATTATTATTAAGTACGCCGGGTCACCATCTGGAAAGGACCCGGGCCGGGACATGTACCAACGAATCATTCAAGTATTATAAGTAGTTGTAGTTGTGCATATATATGTCGTGCCGAATAGGTAAATTATTTTATTATTATTATTAAAGATTAGCCGGTATTCTCCCGGCCCGGGCCTTTTCCAAGTGGTGGCCCGGCCTTGGCTCCCTCTAGGGAGTGTCTGAGACCTAAGTCTCCCATGGGAGGAGGCACAAGTACCTCCTCATCTTTGGGACCAACTGTCCCCAGGCCTAGCCACAAGCTAGGCCTCGCTGGTCTGCCATCCCCGCCTCAAGGGGGCTAATGGAAATGACAGTCTTATGAGCTAAAGGCTCGGGCTCAGGCACCTACCCTGCCCTAGAAGGGCTGGGCATGGTGTCGATGAATAGGTAAAACACGATTTTGGCTTAAACAGCAACGCTCTTCTTCCCGAATAAGGCAAGTGAAAATTTGTGTATGCAATAATTTCGCAAAAATCATACTGAAGCTAACGAAAAATATATGTTTCATTGTGTTTGTTTATTATTAAATTATTGTAAACTTATCTAAAATATATTTAGCTGGATTAGGCTAAATTAAATTGCGCTTGTTATAATAAGGTTAGGTTTCTTAGGTTCTTTTGGTACAAAATTATTAATTTTTACATTAACGTAATTGAAAAAATATATATCTTTAAACGTATAAGAGAAAATTTTAGAAAAGACTTCATTTTAAACGAGTTCTTGCTAACTGACCAATTTTACCTATTCGGCACGATATATATATATATATATATATATATATATATATATATATATATATATATATATATATATATATATATATATATATATATATATATATATATTAGGTATGGGGTAGGTTTAAAAATGTAGTGTTAGAGTGTTCAGCAGAAGTTTGTGGTTACAGGAAAGTGGGTGCAGGAGGGAAGAGGAGCGATTGGTGGAATGATGATGTAAAGAGAGTAGTAAGGGAGAAAAAGTTAGCATATGAGAAGTTTTTACAAAGTAGAAGTGATGCAAGGAGGGAAGAGTATATGGAGAAAAAGAGAGAAGTTAAGAGAGTGGTGAAGCAATGTAAAAAGAGAGCAAATGAGAGAGTGGGTGAGATGTTATCAACAAATTTTGTTGAAAATAAGAAAAAGTTTTGGAGTGAGATTAACAAGTTAAGAAAGCCTAGAGAACAAATGGATTTGTCAGTTAAAAATAGGAGAGGAGAGTTATTAAATGGAGAGTTAGAGGTATTGGGAAGATGGAAGGAATATTTTGAGGAATTGTTAAATGTTGATGAAGATAGGGAAGCTGTGATTTCGTGTATAGGGCAAGGAGGAATAACATCTTGTAGGAGTGAGGAAGAGCCAGTTGTGAGTGTGGGGGAAGTTCGTGAGGCAGTAGGTAAAATGAAAGGGGGTAAGGCAGCCGGGATTGATGGGATAAAGATAGAAATGTTAAAAGCAGGTGGGGATATAGTTTTGGAGTGGTTGGTGCAATTATTTAATAAATGTATGGAAGAGGGTAAGGTACCTAGGGATTGGCAGAGAGCATGCATAGTTCCTTTGTATAAAGGCAAAGGGGATAAAAGAGAGTGCAAAAATTATAGGGGGATAAGTCTGTTGAGTGTACCTGGTAAAGTGTATGGTAGAGTTATAATTGAAAGAATTAAGAGTAAGACGGAGAATAGGATAGCAGATGAACAAGGAGGCTTTAGGAAAGGTAGGGGGTGTGTGGACCAGGTGTTTACAGTGAAACATATAAGTGAACAGTATTTAGATAAGGCTAAAGAGGTCTTTGTGGCATTTATGGATTTGGAAAAGGCGTATGACAGGGTGGATAGGGGGGCAATGTGGCAGATGTTGCAGGTGTATGGTGTAGGAGGTAGGTTACTGAAAGCAGTGAAGAGTTTTTACGAGGATAGTGAGGCTCAAGTTAGAGTATGTAGGAAAGAAGGAAATTTTTTCCCAGTAAAAGTAGGCCTTAGACAAGGATGTGTGATGTCACCGTGGTTGTTTAATATATTTATAGATGGGGTTGTAAGAGAAGTAAATGCGAGGGTCTTGGCAAGAGGCGTGGAGTTAAAAGATAAAGAATCACACACAAAGTGGGAGTTGTCACAGCTGCTCTTTGCTGATGACACTGTGCTCTTGGGAGATTCTGAAGAGAAGTTGCAGAGATTGGTGGATGAATTTGGTAGGGTGTGCAAAAGAAGAAAATTAAAGGTGAATACAGGAAAGAGTAAGGTTATGAGGATAACAAAAAGATTAGGTGATGAAAGATTGAATATCAGATTGGAGGGAGAGAGTATGGAGGAGGTGAACGTATTCAGATATTTGGGAGTGGACGTGTCAGCGGATGGGTCTATGAAAGATGAGGTGAATCATAGAATTGATGAGGGAAAAAGAGTGGTGCACTTAGGAGTCTGTGGAGACAAAGAACTTTGTCCTTGGAGGCAAAGAGGGGAATGTATGAGAGTATAGTTTTACCAACGCTCTTATATGGGTGTGAAGCGTGGGTGATGAATGTTGCAGCGAGGAGAAGGCTGGAGGCAGTGGAGATGTCATGTCTGAGGGCAATGTGTGGTGTGAATATAATGCAGAGAATTCGTAGTTTGGAAGTTAGGAGGAGGTGCGGGATTACCAAAACTGTTGTCCAGAGGGCTGAGGAAGGGTTGTTGAGGTGGTTCGGACATGTAGAGAGAATGGAGCGAAACAGAATGACTTCAAGAGTGTATCAGTCTGTAGTGGAAGGAAGGCGGGGTAGGGGTCGGCCTAGGAAGGGTTGGAGGGAGGGGGTAAAGGAGGTTTTGTGTGCGAGGGGCTTGGACTTCCAGCAGGCATGCGTGAGCGTGTTTGATAGGAGTGAATGGAGACAAATGGTTTTTAATACTTGACGTGCTGTTGGAGTGTGAGCAAAGTAACATTTATGAAGGGATTCAGGGAAACGGCAGGCCGGACTTGAGTCCTGGAGATGGGAAGTACAGTGCCTGCACTCTGAAGGAGGGGTGTTAATGTTGCAGTTTAAAAACTGTAGTGTAAAGCACCCTTCTGGCAAGACAGTGATGGAGTGAATGATGGTGAAAGTTTTTCTTTTTCGGGCCACCCTGCCTTGGTGGGAATCGGCCGGTGTGATAATAAAAAAATAAAAAATAAATATAATATATATATATATATATATATATATATATATATATATATATATATATATATATATATATATATATATATATGTGTGTTGTATATATATATATATATATATATATATATATAATCAGGGATACACGAAAAGCTACAAGATAAGTAATAGTTTCAGAATACAGCTGATAATCAGATGTGAGTCATTATCACGAGGTTAGTGAATCATGTACAGCATAAGCAAACTACGCAATGTTTATGCAAAAATTACTAACTGTTATATCTCGTCTTGTCATTTCAACACAATCGATCACTCATATCAGTTACGTACCAAAAAAAAAAAAAACAATATTGATTAGGAATATCAATATTGACTGGCTGCTGACTAAATAACAGCATATTATTAAACCGATTTCAATAGCATTCAAGCTTCATTAGTTAAGTTTAAAGGTTGACCTTATAAGTGCATTATTTATATATATATATTTTATATTATTTTAATTATGTACAAAGTTCAATACAGTGTGATTCATTAATATATTGCGAGTGTCTGCATCTGTGCGACTTATTATTTCCTCGAAGTGTATACGCTAACCTCTACCTTAATTAACAGTGTATTACATTAAGAGCAAAGTTTATATTTTATATTCCAACAACTGGCCCATTTTCACATCCCTCTGATTGATAGAAAGTGTTATCAAATTATTTATTAGAGGAAAAGTAAAAAGATTGTGAAACGCTATAAATCAGATGACTAGTAACTCGCAGACGCCAAGGATCTTATAGTACGATGCTCACTTGTACACAAAATTTCTTGATCCCATTACCCAAAATAAAGTTCATTCCACTTATAGGTGTTTGGGTGCTGCTGTTTAGTCATAGACTGACAGAAATCTGGGAATTTACACTGCCGAAGGTTGAGTAAAGATGCTGGCGCTAATCAACAGAATATTAGACTGGTTCAAGAGTCTCTTCTGGAAGGAGGAGATGGAACTGACGCTGGTTGGTCTCCAGTATTCCGGCAAAACAACCTTCGTCAATGTTATTGCTGTAAGTTAAAGGCGTTGCCATCGGGTTTTGGTGTCTCCAGACAAGGTTCTAGGAACCAAGCACTTGGATAACACCTCTTGTACTCTTTAATTTCCTTCATATAATTTCTGATAAGCTAATTATGATATATATATATACATGTATATATATGAATTTATTCATATAATTTTTTTGGCTTGTGTATTTTATTTGCATGGTTATAATCATGACTGATGTCTACGTTTTTTAATAGCATGGATAACACCTCATAGGCTCTTTAAATTCTTTCATAGAATGTCTTCTCTAAGGTTAAATATAATATGTACAAAATGTATCTGGAGGCGAATTCATTCAGACTTTTTTTTGGCTAGTTTATTTTATTTAAATGGTTATAATCATGACTGATTTACATATTTCTTAATAGCCTGGCTAACACCTCTTATGTTCTTTAAATTCCTTCACAGAATTTCTTCTGTAAAGTTAATTATGTCAAGGATCCCAGTGGAAATAAGTCACTGACTTTTTTGGGGGGTTATCCTAGGTAATTTATATGTATGTTACTATGTATGATAATTTCTGGAACTTTGTGAGAGCCTGTACCTAAATAAACTTGTGTACAAAAATGCATCTAGAGGCAAATTTATTCAGATAAAATATTGGGGGCAAGTTTATTTTATTTACATGGTTATAATTATGACTGTTGTCTATGTTTTATAAATAGCTAGTCTGTTCATAGTAAGATATTACAGGGACAGCAATGGAAATGTCACACTGACCTCATTGGGTTGTCCTAGGTAATTTACATGTTGCCATGTAAGGCAGTTTTAATCATCCAAAACATGTTTAATTGTACTTGTGTGTAATTGTACCTAGAATGATGTAGGCCTAAAACTGTTACATAGGCACTAGGCTGTAGAACAGTAGCAGGAGGGTATACCTGCTAGCCATTCTATATTCTACAGCTTCATAGCAGCTCTTCCTACTTTTTTTTTTCCATATAGCTACTAGTGATCTCACCAACGTTCCCAAGTTCAGTGAAGTTGGGAGAGGTCTCTCATAATTTTCCACTACCAGAAAGTTCTGTATAGTTTTCATAAAATTATCGGCAAACACTTGTGTTAATATAGTTAATTGCAGTGTATTTTGTCATTATTTGAAAATTATTATTCATGGTAAATGTGTCATTCTTAATTATTGGAATGTATTAACCATGTATAATACAGTTATCCAGAAATATAAATTCAGTATACATATTAGTTTATGAATACTATATTAATGTATTATGTAGACATTCTTTATTCCTTCATACTGATATATTATTTTTGTATTTCTCTATTAAATATATTTTCATAAATTTATTTTTCAACACTGAAGTGCAAGTTTCACCCATGCAATGTGCCTTTATCAAATTGCATATGATTTTTTTTGACTTGAAGCCCACAGTGTAGGGAAAATGTGAATACACGTTCTATGTTCTGTATGTATCTGTCCCACATTACTCTAATAGAGGAACAATGCAGTAGGCCTGCTGGCCCATGTTAGGCAGATTCACAAACCCATCTCTTCTCACTCCTAAACACCCAAGAATAGAGGAGCACTGTAGTAGATCTACTGACCCATGCTAGGCAGGACTTCTTCACACCCAGCCACTCCTGCTCGTGTACCTGCACACACTATTTTAAATGTTAGGTAAAAGGACATATGTACATTAGCTGAACATGTGTCCTTTTACCTAACATATTGTAGGTGATTCTACCAACATTATTACACTACTTTTAATGCTTCCTTACATACATGCTTCATTGATGCTACTTAGTAGTTTGTTTTGCTTATCCCTAACTCTTTGTTAAGCCAATGCTTTCCTATATCCTTTCTAAATCTAAATTTATCCAAAATTAATCCATTATTTCAACTTCATTTTTGGTTAACTATTCTTTGTAGGCGAGTAGGGTATCAGCCAATTTTGATGGTATTGGTGTCAGCCTAAAAATTGTATTGACAAACATTTTAGCATTGTCCTGTCCCTAATTCTCAGTACCCTAAAATTTCTATTTCTTGATAAAAATGAAAACATACAAATGCAGCATTTAAACCTGCTGACAACACAAAAATAGGCCGAATAATACTTTGAGGACACTGTGTACCTGTTAAGGAGGTGTTTTTACTAATTTGTATTGCTTACCTTGTGGTTAAAAAAATAATAAAAATATTACATATCCATGGACTTCTTATAATATTTTGTTGTTTTTACAGTCAGGGCAGTTTAGCGAAGACATGATTCCAACAGTGGGTTTCAACATGCGAAAGATCACAAAGGGAAATGTTACCATCAAGGTCTGGGATATTGGTGGACAACCACGGTTTAGATCTATGTGGGAGCGGTACTGCCGAGGCGTTAATGCCATAGTGTAAGTATCTTGCAATATTTAAACGTTAGTCATAATCTAGTGTATATTAGATTAAGAATTCTGCATATTGTTTTGGTTACCACAAAGTGAAGCAGACCCATCACCAGCCAAATCAACCAGGTTGTGATAGACATGTGGGCCAGCAGACTGCCGTTAGGAACAGCCTGGTTCAGCTGGCAAGCACCAGACAGTCCTGACCCAGGGCTGGGCTGAGGGAGTAGGAAAACTCTTGAAATCCTTGGAAGGTATATATCACAAGTATAAAGGTACCAGTAAAGGTATAAAGGTACCAGTAATGGTACCTGCACCTGTGAAGGTATCTATATAATAAAATAATACAAGTACCATCTGACTTACAACCTGCTCGACATATGACCATTTGTACTTACAACTGTACATCTGGCAGCATATACAGTACTAACACAAACCCACTACCATTATAGTATCCTCCTCACTTAGCAATGAATTCATATATCAACGTGGTCTTAGGAACAGAACTCCGTCATTAAGTGAGGAGAGGCTGTATTGTTATATGCATTCACCAGGCAGAAAATTGAAAAATACTCATGAATAAGCAATTCTTGAGTGTTAAAGAAAATTGAAAAATACTCATGAATAAGCAATTCTTGAGTGTTAAAGAACTTAACTAACACTAATAGTGCTGTGACAGCCCTTGAGCTATCAGAACTTTTCATTTGACCTAACAATAGTTAACAGCCTAGGGGCTGTCACAACCCTTCATTAACAAAAACAATGCAATACTTCTCTTGATGTCTTGATAAATTTTCATGTTTTTCTTTTTTTGTTATGCTCTAATAAAAGCAGGGATATACATGTACTTCACTGTGCATCTAGCAAACCATAGACCCATCTTAAGGGTTAAATGCTTCAGTGTGATTATAATAATAATAATGTACTCCACTCTGGTGAAGGGAGGGAGGAAGGACTTGTAGGTTGTACAGTATGTAATGTGATGGAGATAAATAGTATAAAATACTAAAATGATGGGTAAAGAGAGAAATACAGTTTAATGCAATCCTTTATTGACAATGTTTTGCCCACACATTGGGCTTTATCAAGCCACAGACAGATACAACTTTCGAGAGAGGATGGGTATATACTGTATAGAGAGTGCAGTGACCTAAAGGGTCAGGTGAGGAATGCTGAAACTGATCGATAGGAAGAGGTTGGATTTGAGAAGGACTTGCCCAGCATGAGTCAGTAGACTTTGGGGGAGCACTGCAGAAGGCCTTCTGGCCTGTGCTGGGCGGGTCTCTTTCCGATCCAACCTCTTCTCGGTCATCAGTTTTAACATTCCTTACCTGAACCTTCACATCACTATGCTCCCTATATATTATGCATGTCCTTTCTCCAGAAGTAAATCAGTTTGTGACTTGAGAAAACCCATTGTGTGAATAAAATGTTGTCAATAAATGATCGCAATATACTGCATTTCTTTCTCTTACACGTAATGTGACAGTGCTTCTCTCTCAGATGCAGCCAGAACCTCTCTCCCAGAGCAATAAACAATTTATACACAGTACTGTATATGTAAATAAATGGTTCGGAGAACTGACAAGTTGATAAATTAGGCATGTGTGCAACACTTAGGTATCTTCATTGAGGAAACGTTTTGCCACACAGTAGCATCATCAGTCCAATACAAAGACAACAACAACATCTTGGGATCTTGATACAGGAAATTCTTCACTTGCCTAACCTTTAGGCATGACCTGCTTCCACATGTGGATTTGTCCAATGTGATATTGCCTACACTGCTTTATCTCACCTGTCTGCAGTATATAAGCCACTTTTGCACACATGCTGTATTCTTTTCAAGATTGATGGACTGATTACGTTGACTCCAGGTTGAGGGACTGATTACTGTATTTTGCAGCTTATTAGATACATTTTTTTTTTCCATAAAATGTCTCCAAAAACCACCCTGCATCCTATAAACTGAAGGTCAGTGACGGAAGCTATAAGTTTGAGGTGTGGGGGTGGGCTGTAACTCTCCCAGTTATGTCCAATGCCAAGCCATTGAAACTAAACAGTCCAGCATTTCAAATTTACTGTAAATTAATAGTTTTGAGACAAGCTATTGATGAAATACGGATACTGTACTGGGATGTTGACAGAAAATGAAATTCCTTCATAAGCAACACCTTCCTTTCTTATTTCTTAAACTACCGAAGTCACAAAGCAGCGTCATTTGTGGTAGGCACTTTAAAATAATGCTACCGTATACTACACTATCGTTAGCACATGCTGGGTATTTTCACTTCATTACTAGGTACCAGTAATCATATTTACTGTATGTTATGGTACTTAGCTTCAAATATTGCCAAGCAAATACAGTGGCCCAACAACATCTGAAGCAGCCATTTTTATGCCAATAGTCACTGACAAAGACGCATCAGTATGCACTCTGGGACCCTCACTGTATAGAGTTGCGCACACAGCAGCAACTCAGTCACCAGCGACTGTTTCACCAGTTCAGATTGAGAGATCAGGGTGTTCAGGTGAGCACTAGGCCTGCCGTATGTTTTGACCTACCCATAAATCAAACATAACCTTATTTCTGCATGTAAAATTACCACAAGTTTCAGTGTAGTAAATATTACCTGGTATTGGGCACTCTTTAACTTTTTCTCTGATTATTACCTTCTAAATTGGGAGGCATCTAATGCATCGGAGTGTCTTATAAGCCGCAAAATACGGTACCTCAAACTCCTGATCTTCATCTTTGTATAGGACTGATGAAGCTGGTGATGCAGAGGATATGAAAACACTTGGGCGTGTTGACTACTGATGCAGCAAAAAGTTGATCTACTTCCATCGGTGAAAGTTTGATCAGTGAACAATATACACCTACCATCCGACTTACGACCTGCTCGACTTACGACCACTCGACTTATGACCGTGTTTTTTTTTTTAATGCCAAATTTCTGAGAAATAAACAACTATTTGTGTTGTACACTGTTTATCCTAAACCTTACAGTATAAAATACAGTACTAACAGCATAAAAAGTAAAGTAAAACATGAAATACCAAAATAAAACTATAAAATAGTCATTACAAAAATGTTATGTTGATATTCAGTAGTAAAGTTTGACTTACGTCCATTTCGACTTACGACCGGTTTCTCGGAACCGAAGTCAGTCGTAAGCCGGATGGTAGGTGTATCTATAAACATTCTTTGGTCACTGTATGAGTGGAAACAGTCATTAAGGGGGAGGTTAGTGGTTGGCTTCTTTAATCTAGTCATTGTACATATTGGATCAAGTTGTTAAGTGGGGGGTCGACTGTAACTGTTTTTAAGGATTATAATTTTTTTTTTTTATGAAGGGTTAGTACAACTCATCATTTTAAGTGAAAGGGAACTATAAAAAATTTGAGTTAGGAAGTGTAAATGTGTTATTAACTATGATTTTGTCTTTCAGGTACATGGTAGATGCAGCTGACCCTGAAAAGATAGAAGCATCACGTAATGAACTGCACAATTTACTAGACAAGCCCCAACTGGCAGGCATCCCAGTTCTGGTGTTAGGAAACAAAAGGGACCTACCAAATGCTCTTGATGAAAAGGGTCTTATTGAGAGAATGTAAGTTTCACTAGTCTCAAGCCAGTATAATTCAATTAACCCTTTCAGGGTTTTCGACGTACTAGTACAGCTTACGCACCAGGGTTTTTGACGTGCTAGTACGCCTAAATTCTAGCGCCCTCAAATCTAGTGAGAGAAGGCTGGTAGGCCTACATATGAAAGAATGGGTCTATGTGGTCAGTGTGCACAGTATAAAAAAAAATCCTGCAGCACACAGTGTGTAATGAAAAAAAAAAAAACTTTGAGAGTGTTTTTGGTTTAAAACAGCGACTTTGCACTGTATTTTCGTATGGTATTTATGATGGTATTCAAGTTTTCCTGGTCTCATTTTATAGAATGGAAGGCATATTACAGAAATTGAGACGATTTTGATTGGTTTTTACAATAAAAAGTACCTTGAAATTGAGCTCAAAGTAGGAGAAATCTTAGATTTTTGCCAAAGTTCAAAAGTAAACAAATGCTACGTGTCCAATACACGTCAACTGGCGAGTCTAATATTCTTTCACAAGTGCGCTGATATTATTTATACCATTTCTACACTAATGCAGTAATCTGCATAACAGTAAATCTTCTATTTTTTGAGAATAAAAATTCAAAGTGGAAAGCAAAAGAATGTAAGAGGGGCGTGGGGACGTGACTAATGAACAGAGGAAATGTTATTTTAGTGCCAGGAATGTCTTGTTTATTCTGGACCCTATTTGGAAATTAGCATCTTTTGAAATTTGTGTGAAATTGGCAAAATTGCTAAATTCTGACCACTTTATTGGATAGTCGAAATCGGTAAATTGATGGTTTCTTGTACTCATTTGATAGAAAAAATGGAGTTCTAGCGAAATAGTTATGATTTTTGTCGATTAGTACGCTGGAATTAGCTGAAAATAGGGCTCAAAGTGGGCAAAATCGCCAATGCGTAACATCATCAAGACCGCTAACTTCGCGAGAGCATAATTCAGTAAGTTTTCCATCAAATTTCATACTTTTGGTGTCATTACGATCGGGAAAAGATTATCTTTTCATAAGAAAAAAAATTTTTTTTTTTTTTTTTTTTAAATTTGGCGACCCTGAGAACAAGTCTGGGAGAGGGCCTGTCGACCCTGAAAGGGTTAAACACATGAGATGGTTGCCCTCTTGTTTTAATAGTTGGTTATCCTGATCATATCCTCACATAAAATATCCTAGATTTTCTATAATCTATCAGATTCATTTCTTACTGTATGCTTGAGTGCAAATGCAGTGAAATCCAACAACCAAATATAATACTCCCTTTGACCCTTTTATTGTCTCCCATTTAAATTTGTCATTGAAGATTGAGACACTTATGCAGCATATGGGAATCTTTATTCAGGAAACGTTTCGCCACACAGTGGCTTCATCAGTCCAATACAAAGAGGAAGCCTTCCTCTTTGTATTGGACTGATGAAGCCACTGTGTGGCGAAACGTTTCCTGAATAAAGATTCCCATATGCTGCATAAGTGTCTCAATCTTCAACTTGTCGGTTTTTCAAACCATTCGTCACATAAATTTGTCATTGATGCCAGTGTCACTTGCAAAGATCTACATTGTAAGCACAGCTCCCTCAAATATGCTATGGGTGGTAAATTTTGGTCTAAAAATGAGAGAATGGGTATGCTGTGAGTGTGCACAGTATATATATAAAAAACCTGCCCCATGTAGTGTATGAATGAAAAAGCAAACCTCTGACCTTGTTTGGTTGAAAATAGTGTCTTTGATATGTCTTCTAAGGTGTTTTTTTTTATGGTTTAACTGGCTGCTTCTTGATATTTGATAGAATGGAAGACATACAAGTTAAATGGAGATAATTTTGGTTGGTTTCAGATCAGAAGTACAGTAAATCCTTTATATAACGGACTGATGAGGATTATCTGAGTGTCCGTTATATCAGAATTGTTAAAAAAAAATAGTAAGAAAGTGCACTAAAGTGTTTACCGTATACCTAATATAGTACTGTAGACAATTTACAGATATATTGCACTAAACATTGAAAATAGTTAAAAGTATAATTTAACCAGTGGATTTTGTTTATAATTTTAAAGGTGTTATATCAAGGGCTTACTTTAGACTGAAATAGGGCTCAAAGTGGTAGAAATAATTTTTTTTTTTCCTCATGAAGGTAGGGTCTCCTCACCCCTGGTCTGTTTTGTGTTTTTTACCAGGTTTTCTTCCATTATTGGGTTGGCCTGAACCAAGGCCAATCATTCTCGTTTAGATTTTATCAAAGAAATAGGGTAAAACTTTGATTTTCTGTGATAATGGATTCAAAATGTGGAGGGCAAGTGTTATATAGGAGAGGCCTGGGGACATGATTAATGAACAAAGAAGAGGTTGCTTTAGTGGCTGGAATGCCAACAGTGTTTATTTTGAACTTTTTAAATTGGACACTTTGAACCCTTTGACTATTTCGATCATATACATACGTCTTATGAGCCACAGTGTTTGACGTATATATATACTCAAACATTCTAGCGGCTTCAAATCAAGCAGGAGAAAGCTGGTAGGGCCACATGTGAGAGAATGGGTCTGTGTGGTCAATGTGCACCATATAAAAAAAAATCCTGCAGCACGCAGTGCATAATGAGAAAGAAAACTCCATTTTTTGGGGATTAAAACGCCGACTTTGTGGTGTATTTTCGAATAGTATTTGTGGTTGTATTCTCGTTTTCTTGGTCTCATTTGATAGAATGGAAAACATGTTATAGAAATAGAGGTGATTTTGATTGGTTTTACTATGAAAAGAACCTTGAAATGGACTCAAAGTAGGAGAAATGTTCAATTTTTGCCAATGTTCAAAAGTAAACAAATGATGTCATTGTCCAATAAATGTCCAACTAGCCATTCTAATATGCAGTCATGAATGGGTTGACATTATTTATACAACTATTACAATATTGCAGTAGTCTGCACAACAGTAAATCTTCCATTTTTTGTTTGAATAAAAATTCAAAATAGAAAGCAAGAGTAATATCAGAGGGGCCTGGAGACATAACTGATGAACAAAGAAAATGTTATTTTAGAGGCAGGAATGTCTGCATTGTTCAGTCTGGACCCTATTTTGAAATTGTTATATTTTTTAATTTTTGTGAAATTGGCCAAATTGCAAATTTCTGACCACGTTATTGGGTAGTTGAAATCGGTAAATCGATCAGTCGATAGAACAAATGGAGTTCTAAAGAAATAGGTATGAGTTTGGTTGACTGGAACAATGGAATTAGCCGAAAATAGGGCTCAAAGTGGGTGAAATCGCTGATTCGTAAATATCGCCAAGGTCGCTAACTTTGCGAGAGCGTAATTCCATTAGTTTTCCATCAAATTTTGTTCTTTTGGTGTCATTACCATTGGGAAAAGATTCTCTTGTCATTTCATAAGTTTTTTTTTTTTTTAACACCAGGAGACACCTCAGGATTTGGGGTTTCAACAGTCAAGGGGTTAATCTTGTGTAAAATTAGCCAAATTTCTGATAGTTGAATGGGCCTAGTAGCAAAATAGCTAGGAATTGTGTTGAATTGAGCATTGGTTTAAAATAGGACTCAGACTTTTTCTGCACAGTTTATTAACCCTTTCAGGGTCCAGAGGCCAAATTTCAAAGTGTGCACCAAGGTCCAAGAATTTAAAAAAAAAATTTATTTTTTCTTATGAAATGGTAGAGAATCTTTTTCTGAAGGTAATAAAACAAAAAGTACGAAATTTGATGGAAAATTGACGAAATTATGCTCTCACGAATTTTGATGTGTCAGCGATATTTACAAATCGGCGATTTTGCCGACTTTGACTCCCATTTTAGGCCAATTACCTTATTCCAGTCGACCAAATTCTTAGCTATTTCACTAGTATTACTTCTATTCTATCGATTGAGCACAAGAAATCGCCCAGTCGACTGTTTCAACTACAAAATAAAGTGATCGGAAATTGGTAATTTGGCCAATTTAACACAAAGTTCAAAATATTCCAATTTCAAAATAGGAACCAGAATAAACAATGCAGGCATTCCTGGCACTAAACTAACATTTCCTCTATTCATTAGTTATGTTTTCAGGCTTTACAAATGAATTCCATTTTGATTTTTTATTCTCATAATGAATTTTTATTCAAACCAAAAAATAGAAGATTTACTGTTATGCAATATGTAATAATTGTATAAATATCATCACCACATTTGTGAATGTATATTAGACCCACCAGCTGGCGTGTATTAGACGTGGGAGATCATTTGTTTACTCTCGAACATCGACAAAAATTTAACATTTTCGCTACTTTGAGCTCAGTTTCAAGGCATTTCCAGTACTAAAACCAATCAAAATCATCTCTACTTCTGTAACATATCTTCCATTCTATCAAACGAGGCCAAGAAATCGCAAATACAACTATAAAAAACATACGAAAAAACACTGCAAAGTCGCTGTTTTAATCGAAAATCACTGTCTGTTTTTTTCTCTTATTATACACTGTGTGCTGCAGGATTTGTTTTATGTGGTGCACACATACCACATAGATGTATTCTCTCTTATCTAGGCCCAAATTTACCACTCACAGCTTATCAGAGTGAGCTGAGCTCATGGCGTAGATCTACAGTTTGGACACTGAACGTAAAGCCATAGATCTGCGGCACAGACCCTGAAAGGGTTAAAACCCATGATACTAGTATCTTATGTTGCTGCCCCCCCCTTTTTTTTCTCTTGTCAACCTCCAGTGATAATTTCTTTACTACCTCTTTAGTTATCTCAATATCCTCTAACTTGATTATCTTTATGGCTCTTAAATCTGTTGAGAAGCCTAAGAAATTTTAGATTTGTCTTGTTGGCTATTCCTCCTAACAGCATAACAAGCAGTAATCATTGTAGAGGTTTATAAGGATGAGAAAAATCTCAAAACAGGTATAGCATACATATTTGTCAATGTGGATAGATGTCACATGTGAAACCCCAATAGGTGTTAAAATTATCGAAAGAGAAATCATGAACCACGTCTTATTACTGGGAATCTATTTACAAAAAAAAAAAAAAAATCAGTTTAATAGTAACCCATTTTTGTGAGACTTCCATGTATTCCAGTTCCAAACTGAAGTTAACTTTTTTTTTTTTTTTTGTTTATGTATATTGCAGGAACCTGTCAGCTATTCAAGATAGGGAAATTTGCTGCTACTCTATATCCTGCAAAGAGAAGGACAACATTGACATAACACTTCAGTGGCTCATTTCTCACTCCAAGTCTGGTGGCCGCTAAGCCACCTCTTCCCAATGCTGGTTGAGTTAAAGAAGCGTCCAGAGATTTTAAAGAGTTGTTGAAAACAGTATTTGTTAATACTGTGTAGGATTGTGGAATAGGACAGAAATCTTTATGGACTAATGAATTGTAGAAGGGATTATAGGCTGGGGGAAATTTGTTTAAATTGAGATACTGTATTTAACTTTAGAAATTAATAATTAAAACTAAATAGGGGTTATAATTTTACATGTAGTAAATAAAACTTGGAACAAAAGTGTAGTCATGACATATTCCACTGAATTTTGTTTTATAATGTAGAATTTTTCGAATGTGTTCTGGGCACCAAACTGAATTAATCTGATTGCAATTTAGATTTTTTAAGCATTGTAATCAAGATATCCCATATGTGAAAGTGAAGCCTAGGGAGAGCAGATGTTTATTCAGTATGTATAATTGAACTATCGTCAGGATTTTTTTTTTTTATAATTAAGTATATGACACATGCTCTTGTTACTTTGTATATTTTATATAATAATATTGGTTTCCTCTTAATAAAAGAGCTAAAGTTTAAAACAAAAGTTTTAAAATGGAAGCAGTCTTTTCTCATTACGCTTATTGTTCCATGAAGTGAAGCCAAAATATTTTTTTCTTGTGATTTGTAAATGTTACTTCACAATCTCTCTTGGTAGATTTTTGGACCAGGATGATATAATGTAGTTAAATACACTACCAGTTTGCTTTGAATGCTCATCACTTATTCTTACAATTATCTTTAAATACTACAAAGGTTTTCTAGGTTTTACATCTCTGTATTTTAAGTTTAAAGATCTGTATGGAAAGTTTTGCCAAAATTTTTCATAGTAGTTAAAGGTAAATTAGTTACTTCAACATATTTTTGTAAGAGAAATCCTGGATGTGCATTGTCTATCAAAAGTCATGTAATGTTAAAACAATTCTGTTTCAGGGTTTAACACTGTTTGTGATGTCTCAATTCTAATATTTTATATAGGTCTTTTGACAAAGTGAACATTCATATAACAGAAAAGCATTTTGAGTTGACCATTTATTGAAATATCAAACCATTCCTCATCATTTTTCTACATGAGCCCTAAGGACACAGTCATACTGGTTATTTTGTCATTTTTCTGAGGTGTGCATGATTGCTAAATGTGGGTATATTTGGCCTGTGAGTGTGCCCAGTGGTAGGACTGTGCTATACACTGGTGTAATGTGGCCAGTGGTAGGACTGTGACTGCTGTAGACTGGCATGGTGTTCACATAGTGAAGCAGATCACATACTTTAGGCATTATCCAACTTTAGAGCACTACAAGGCAGACTTTGCCATCATGTATATACTGATGTATGGTAATTCAATGTTTTGCACACTGGCTTTTAATACAAACAAGAAATATTGGGTGTCAGGGGTGTGGGTGCTTCTGGTCAAGCCTAGGTACTTGCTTTGTACTTTATGAAATTGTTAGATTTCTCTTGTCAGGTTTCACTTCATATTTTAGTGTAAATGGAAAGTATCTTAATCACTGATTTTGTCCATTTCACAAAGTAACTGTTATAATAAACTGGCTAATGTAATGTCAGTTGATTAGCAACCTCCTCATGAAACTGTCACTAATACTGTAGCATCTTTCGGCAAGTTGTATCTAATTTAATCTTTTTTTGGTTTATCACTTAATTTGATTATCTTAGTATTATTATCTTATTTAAGTGGTTATACTTAGGTTAGTATATATATCAAGGTAAATATTTTGTCCACTATTATAATTTTTATCAAACAGTTTATGAAACTAAAAACTTCCAGTCATTTGTCTAAATGAAAAAAAACTACTAGACTGTGTGTGTGTGTGTGTGTGTGTGTGTGTGTGTGTGTGTGTGTGTGTGTGTGTGTGTGTGTGTGTGTGTGTGTGAGTGGGTTTCCACCATAAATCTTTCCTATCAAATAAATTTCAACCATCTTATAAATCACATATATTTTTAAGACTCATTATGTCATAATTCCTTAGCTACACAAACTGTGAATAATTATCAGTGGAAAATCTGATATGCTTTTGTCTGCTTACATATGCATGTGTGCATATGTCTGTGTGCTTGCATATACAATATGTATGCATATGTAATGTGTGCATGCATACTTTCATGTGTATGAATACCTGAATGTGTGCATGCATATATGCATAAGTGCTTGTATACTGGCATGTGTGATGTGTACATGTATACCTGCATATGTGATGTGTGCATATATAGAAGGAAATGACCTGAGGAAAGACTAAAATCTAAACATTACAACGTTAAGAGGATAGGGAAGACAGGATCATGGTGTGCTCATAGCTAACATGTTTAGCTTTTTTTAATACAGAGTAGTGAATGTTTAAGCAAACTGCACTTATTCAAAAGATAATGATACTTAGATGTCCAAATTTGTGGGAGTTATGTTCCTAGAGGTTCCTCAAAATCTAGAATCTGCTAATAACACTAAATTCTGTGTATAAATTTTTTGTATTACATTTAGGCTGTGTTTCAGAGGCTGGTTTTAAATATTTCTTTAACCGTGTTAAAATTGACACTGAAAAGGTAGAATGTCCACAGAATATAGGAGGGAGATTTGATCATTTGAACAGAATCCTATGATTGGGTTTAAAATTAGAGGTCATTTGCCAATGTGAAACAGATTTACAAAAAATCCATGGATAATTTAAACTCTTCACTAGAGACCCTTCAGTGAAAAACACTGACTAGCTGAATTCTACAAATTTGGAGGTGTGGCAGATACTAACAAGATGGCACTGTATGATTCGTTTTTTTATGAATAACACGATATTGTACTCAGTCACAGGGTGAACAGGTGGTTCGAAAGTTGACTGGGAACAAAGGGCACAAATGGAGATTAGACACATTGGTTGGGGATGTCAGGAAGAGGTTTTTTTTTTATTTGAGGGTCACTGGAACATGAGAAAAAACTTAAAAAAAGGGTATATATTCTTCCTCCACTTTCTCAAAGTAATAGCCACAAGTTCCCAAGAAGCCAAGAATTGGTAAAGCTGGTCATTAGTATCTGAGAGATAACCAAAAGCTATGAATCGCCTCTTGCAAAAAACTAGAATTCAACTAGGTGAGTACTGTACATGCACTTGCATAGGTGAAAAACAAAGTGAAATCAACATCTTTGCAATGTAAGCTGAGTGAGGAGAGCATTGAAGAAACATTAGAACTTTTTTTACATTGTATCTGACTGTTATTGTTGAAGTTTCCTGTCGCTAATAAGATTACAGTACTATTACCATTTAAGTAAAATATGATTATGAATTATTGTATATTGAACTAGCCTTATTTTTAATAGGCAATTTCATTCAAACATTCAAGTACTGTAGAAGATTCCACACTTGCCAAAATCAGATAGAAAGTTAATGTGCATAAATCTCTGGACCAAGATTTTTCCTGGTGAAGTTGCTGTATATGATTTGGTGCTTTTTAATCTTGCAACATGAGCAATGTGCATGAAGTTACAAATATCCTGTCTTTGACAAACAAGACTACTACTGAGTTTAGGATCAAATTATGTAGTCTGTTTTTTATAATAGCCTGGTAACACTGCACATTTACAATCAACTTTACTTGCAGCTCTGTGTGTGTTAGAATTTATATACAGAAATTATATTTTGTAGTTACAGTTTGCAAGCTAATTTAAATATATAGTCTGTGATGTTTTGTTATATTGTACATTAATTTTTAAGCATGTTTTTTCTTACTATTTGTATTTATTATTTGTGAACATGGATTGTAAGTTGCACTCTAAATTGAAGATGTATTACTTTGTAAATAGCACTTAAATGAACAGAAAGAAAACCTTACTATTTAAAAAAAATCGCATTCAAGAAATATAGTTGAAATGGACACACTAGATTACTCGGTCAACATTTGTATATACATTGATGGTAAAAATTTATAATCAGAATCTCAGCAGTGTTTTATCTAGCCTTTTGTCAAATCTTTTACCTGATGTTAATTCACATCTTTGAATGATGATTTGTTTTCAGACATATTTGCCTCACGTTAAAAATTAGAACTGGGCATTTTTGCATATTAGAGACAGGACATATGCTTCAAATACTATGAAAATATGCACCTCACATCTGCATATTCTTTTTCTGCTAATTTTGTAAAAGTTGTGACTTGGGCATTGCAGTTACACTGTGTGCCCTAAATTGCTTAATGTGTTACTGCTCTAATAAATTTACTGTAATATTTGATGCTATGTACACAGGTAGGATCATGAATTGATAATTAAATTCATAATGTATACTACAGGTTATTTTTATTTATGTGTCATACTGCAAAGTTGTGACTATGCACTGTACTTTTACCAGTTAACAGCTTCCTTAGCAGGTGATTTAAGTATTAGGGTGATTTCTCCAGCAGTACTTTTCCTTGTCTTGGAATGTGCAGTAGTTGAAGTGTTTGGAAAAGTTATAAAAAAACCACTGCTTCAATAGTGGCAGTGTTATTTTGGATATAGTCACATACATTCAGACAGATTACAACCTCTTGTAGTTTTTTATTAGACTTGCATAGAATGGCTCTTGCTTCACGACTTTGTAATGTGGCAAATAAATAATTTATATATCATAATTGTGTTTTGGAATGATCAGCTAATTTAACATTGAAATCTCATACAATAGTGTACTTAATGTATAGTACATATACTTTTGTAATAATGTATGAGGCAGTAATACCATGGAGAAATTTACAGCAAAGGTCTGAGGGGACACTTTTTATCTACTGTACCATATATCTCTTTCTTCAATGTAAGTACATATATTTGACGGAGAAAGACCTGGCACGTGTGTGTTTTTTTGGGAGTCACCTTAAATACTATATATCATGCACTGTATATTAGCTTTGTCAGAATATATTGTATGAGATTAATGAATGAGAGAGTTTTTACACTAAAGGACTCAACAAAATATAATACGTATAGTAATCTTTGCCCCAAATAAACGTTTCTTGGGTGCATCAATAAATGCAGTTTTATATGGTTACCTTTGAGAGCAGATGAATACCAAATTATGTAATTTGGTGTATAAAAGCCAGAAAAATGTTTGAAGGTGTGTTCTGTGCCATCCAGCAAACAAAATTGGTGTGTAGCTTATCTCTAAGACTGACTTTTGAAGTCTAGCTACACCACTACACAGTGGCTTATAAGTACTGCACTTTACATCTACCTTTTCCTGATGGTAATTCAAGGCGGATGCCTTCACACTGGTGAAAGGCTCTTAATGTAAAGATACCTTCAGATGTCTCCACCGCCTCACACACTTGGTCTAATTGACTTCCTCACTGAAGGTCACACCTTTGATGCAGACACTAACTTTTTTAGCAGTAACTTATTTCACCAACACTGATTTTAAATTTTCTCATTCTCCACCAAATAAAAATCTAAGTCTAATATGAAAACTGGCACCTGTACAAGTCAATGGTTGCATGAACCTTTCCCTAATTACATCACTAGTATTAAAAAATTTGAAAATGATTGGTCCCTGAAAGAAGGTTCCTTGATGCAACCTCTTCAAGGGGGGCTCCTTGTTGTGGTGAAGAGGCTCTTGGTCTGAGGAATCAGACCTGTCGGTCTCCTTCCTCAGACCGAACCTAATTACCCCCCAATCCCCCCCTCCCTATCCCATCCTCCCCTTTTTCCTTTCCTCCTCCTCCTCCCCACCCCTCCCTTTTGCCCTTCCTCTTTTTGGCCTTTGGGATTTCTCCCACAGGCTCGCTAGTTCCTAGATAGGGGAAAGGATACCGGGCTCCATCCCATTCTGTTGAGGTTCTTGGCGGTGGCGTAGTTTGCCGTGGAATCCGGATCGCCTGGGGATGTCCCAATCCCTCTCCGGTACCCCGGAGTAGCTTTGGGTGTCTTTCGGGCGACGGGTGTATCTCTGGAAGCCACCTTTCGGATTCTGGGGCTGGTGGCCGAAGGAGGTATGCTTTGTGGCGGATATCCGGCTGCCCTCTCTTTTGTCCACCGAGGTAGCTCGGCAGATGTGAGGTTGCTATCCCGGATTGCTGGTTTACTGGCATGAAGGGTAGGGTATGGCACGGGTTCCATGCTGCATCTGCGCTACTAGCGGTGCTGAGGTCCTCTTGGGCGCGGAGGGAGATTTCCGGCCCTTTCATTCCTCCTGGGAACTATTCCTCCCCGCTCCCCCCTTTTTTTATTCTTTTTTTTTTTTTATTTTCTTTTCTTTCTTTTTTTTTTCTTAAAAACAAAAAGCAAAGGAGTAACCTAACCATGGCACCCCTAGTCCATAAACCCCCATTACCCCCGGGGCCCCCTTCTTGATACCGCACCCCATTCTGACCCTGCCTTGTGTTTAGACCACTCTTCGGACACCCCTGATGCCCTGTACCTCTTGCGGGTGCTGTTTCCTCACCCGCTTCGGGTACCGGGGCTTTGACTGACTCCTTCGATTTGTCTGAACTCCGCTCTCCTTTGACTATGCTTCCGGCTTCTCCCTCTAGGGTACGGCAATTTTCGAATCGCCCGCCCATTTCACGCCGGACCAACTCCGGTCCTACTCCTAAACGCCAACGTCAATCTCCTGATGATGCTCCTTCGTTACTTTCCATTCTACTCGGAAAGACCAACACGTCAAGCACCCCCTCTCCACGCTCAGTTTCGGACCACACAAGGGACTAAATTCTTTATTTTAAAGACCGACTTCTTTGCCTACCTTTTGACCATAGTATTGGCAAAGCGCTCCTGCGTCTGTTGGTAGAGATATTTCATTTCATGCTCTCAAGAGCGGTATGGCCATCGTCACTGTCCAGAATGCTCCCCAAAGCTCATGTTTTTCCCTCTCCTTTTGAATATCGATACTACTCCTATCACTATTAAAAAACATTTTTCCCTCTCAATTCTTGTAGTGGTACTGTCATTCTGCCCCTTTACCATAGTCCAACAGAATTTCCAGTCATGTGGTAATGACATTTTTGAACAGCTGGAACTCCAGGATCTCCCAATCCTCAAAGTAGACACTTATGCCCTTTCCTTTGCCGGGGGCGGAGACGTTACCCTTGCAATGTGGCTCGTTTAATTTAGACAGCCGAGAACTCCCGTCCTCTGTATATGTCGCGGGACATTGGTTACAAGTTCGAAAGGTGATACCTACACCACAACAATGTAAAAATTTGCTGGTGTTTTGGTCACCCAGCGAAATATTGCAGATCTAGGGCCGAATGCCCAGTCTGTGGTGCCGAAAAAACCATTCTAATACATCTTGCAGTCAACCTCCATTTTGCTTTAATTGTAATGAAGCTCACCCTTCGTACTCCCGCCGTTGCCCAGGTCTACTTAAATGAACGTGAAATCCGTTGCCTCAAAGAGGCAGAAGGTCCCCCTTAATGCTATGGCAGTTACTCATCTCCGCCTCCAAGGGAGACTACCCTGTGTTTCTTATTCTCGTGTTTCCCCACCCCCCACTTCTGGGGTCCCATCTTCTGCAGCCTCCTCTGTTGTTACCCCTCCCATAGCCACTACGGCATCTAATCCTTTTGCTGTCCTTGGCTCTGACGTCCCAACTACAACTCAGTCTGTTCTCACATCTTCGCACCCTTTCCTCACAAGCCCCAGTATCGACAAGACCTCGTACAAACACCTAATACCAATCGCCCCTCTACTCAAAGTCCAAAAAATCCACATTACTCAAATCTTCTTTGCCCTTCCTTCCCTTCTTCCACCTCCACATTTTTCCCTTTTTCAGTCTCTGTCCCTTTAGTTCTTCCCCTCTCTCTGGCTCTATTACAAGTGTGGAGATTCACCCCCTCCTGTACTATGCCTTCCCCCCCCGTCCCCTCCAAAGTTTCTCCCTCTTCTGCCACCTCCCAGGTTTCTGCCTCTTCTGTCCCCCCCCCCCACACTTCATCTCCAGTCCCTTACACTCTTCCCTCCCCCTCTACTTTGGTACAGTCCATTACTGTCCCAATCTTTACTCACCCTCCCCCTTCTATCTCCAATATGGTCTCCCACACATCTTTGAATTCAGAAACACTTGAAAGCCATTTCAGAATATATTGCAGAGACTAACCTTCAATGGACACTGATTTACTTCCTGTTCCTTCTCTTCCCTCTCCTCCATCTTCACAACCCCATTCTTCGCAACGCTCCGTTCCTTCGCTACTTGAACGTTTTTCCAATCCCACCACACGTTGACTTTTCTAACCCCTCTAGTCCGTAGGTGCCTTTACCTACAATTCTGGTATTTTCTTCATCGCAATCATGGCCTATTTACAGTGGAATATCCGCGGCCTCAGGGGAAATTGGGTGAGCTTCAGATGTTGCTTTCCAGGTTTTCCCCTGTTGGTGCTTGCTTACAAGAACCAAAATTACACTCGGCTGATTCCAACCTATCTCAGGCTATAATTTATTGTTTTCCCTTCGGATCCTTTCTCAGATGGGCCCTTTTTAATGAAAGTGCCCCTTCTCTACGCAATGATATTCCGTACTGTCAACTTTTTGTCCATTACTCGCTGCATTACAACTGCAGCCCGTATCCACTTGAATAAGTGGTTTACAATATGTTTTTTTAAAACCCTCTTTCCTTCTGGGAGCATTTTCTATCCCAGACTTTGCCTTTCTTGTTTCATCCTTACCGCCCCCACTTCTGTTACTTGGTAATTTTAATGCCCACCATTTCCTCTGGGGGGGTCTCACTGTGACTTACGTGGCGTCCAGTTGGAGGCTTTTCTCGCCTCTCACCCCCTCCATGTTTTAAATACGGTACTCCCACCCATTTTGATCCTCGTACTCATACTCTCTCTTGCATCGATCTATCAGTCTGCTCTTCCTCCACTGACCTAGACTTCACCTGGTCTGTTCTACCGGACTTACATGACAGCGATCTTTTCAATCATTCTTACTTCTCCTTCCTATTCACCACCTTTCCGTAGCCCTCGCTGGCAAATTTGATCGGGCAAATTGGGATCTTTACTCACACCTCCTGCTTTTAGTGAGGTTCCTTCTTCATCCTCCATTTATGAACTCCTACACCTCTTCTTGACGTCAGTTTATACCGCAGCTTCTCATTCTATACCCCAAACCTCAGGCAGGCATTCTCAGAAGTGCGTGCCTTGGTGTCTTCCGGCTGTGCTCGTTCAGTACATTTGAAACGCGCGCATGGGGCAGGTACCCGTACAATAGAAAATGCTGAGAGACTTCTTGATTTTAAGCAGAAGCGTGCGATCGCTCGCCGTGTCATCCGTGAAGCTAAATGCACTTGTTGGCGAGGGCTATTTTTTCCACCATCACCTCTGCTTCTTCTATGATGCAGTCTGGAAAAAAGTGAGGGAAATTGAGTGGTAAATACTCTTTTGACCCCCGGGTCCTGTTCTACGGGTCGCTGGTGTTGATGTAGCAAACCTCTCGACGTTGCCATTGAACTTGGGACACATCTGGTCCCTATTTCCCAGGGCTCCCTCCATGCCCCTCTTCTTTCCTCAAAGTCTGCAGAGAGTTAGTACCCTTGGGGCTTTTTTTTTCTCTCAGGAAGAACAGTTAATGTTCCTTTACACTCAAGAACTAGAGGGAACGCTCCAGCTTGCCGATCATCGCAGCTGGGCCTGACGACATTCATATTCGTTTTGTTACAACATTTACATCGGTCAGCCCTTGAGTCCTCTTACACCTCTTCAATCTTATTTGGGCACAAAGGAGTTCTTCCCCAGCTGTGGAAATCTTTCCATTGTTCTCCCTTTTCCGCAAACCGGGTACTAAGACATGATGCCTCCCACTATCGTTCCATCGCTCTTACTAGTGCAGTTTGCAAAGTGATGGAACGTCTCGTAAATCGACGTTTAATGTGGTAAATTTTGAACACACAACAGTCTCTTCCCCTAGTCAATATGGCTTTTGTAAGGGTCGTTCTACCATAAACCCCTTACTTACGCTTGGATACGTATGTTCGTAATGCCTTTGCGAATAATCACTCAGTTATTGCCAATTTTTTTACCTTGAGAAGGCATATGACAC